AACCTAAATATAATATTTAATATTATTTTAAAAAAATATAATTATAAAATGATGAGCATATTTATCAAAGAGAAAAATGTGTCAATAAATAATTTTTTAAAATTATAATATGGACAATGTATTTGAAATCTTATACAACATCTAATAATAATCTTATTTTCTTTTTAAATATTTCACCTTGCTTTATAATAGATGTTTGTTTAGGACCAAAAAATTACAAAATCTTTATCTTATTAAATTTAAAAGCTTAAAATTGTTTTATAAATAAATATTATTTAAAAAAATATAAAATATTTTTAATAAAAAATAAGTTTGTATATATAGAAGTCATAAATGATATTTTTTTAAGATATGTTACCTATGTAATTATTTCTATAAATGTAGCAAATAATAGATATAATAATTTAATAATATTTAATGATATTGAATCTTTATCCAATTAAATTATTTTAGATTTATTATGGTTAAAAATATATAATCTTCAAATAGATTCAATTATTTTGTATTTTTTTATTTTTTCTATAATATAACCTAAATTTTTGTTATTTAAGTAAATATTTATAAATCTTATATAATCAAATTTTTATTAATAGGTATCATGGACATATATATTTATCTAAATAAGAAGTATTAGATAGAATATAAATATAGATAGATTTGATATTATCTTGTGGCAAAGCTTTGTAAAAGCTACATAGATGCATATTTGACTTTAGACGTGTTTTTAGTTGATAGGTAGGTCAAAAACTTGGCCAACAAGTTAGCCATGTATTGCACGTACTAATAGCTTGTGGAATAAGCTAACTATATAGTGCACATGTAGAAAAATTATCTTATAAGTTAGAAACTTGTCTTGTAAGTTGGACACATATTGGAGATTCTATAGAATATTGCCATGTAACTCTTAGTTAAATAGTATATATAGAGACAATAGTAAAGCCTTCTTTATTCTTCTTAATGTCTTTTTAGTCTTTAGTCTTATTTCAAAATTCTCTAGTCTTTTTGGCTTTGGCAATAACAATTCTAATATAATATTATACCACCATTAAGTGATTTTTTAGTCTTTTTGAGTGACACAAGAGTATATTAATCTTTTAGTTCTTTGATATTTATGTCTTTGAGAGTAGGTGAAAGAACTTTTATGTATGTTACAAAAGAAAGATTATTTTTTGGTGTTTATGAAACATTTATTTTAATGGTGGAATTACTTTAAGTGGTATTTCAAATCAATATAAATATTATTAATATATTTTTGAGATAAAAAATATAGATTTATTTTTAAAACATTGACCTTATGGTTGGCCAATTAATCTTCAAGAAGAAGCTCAATTGCTACTTAGACCAATTTATATCTTATTATGAAATAAATTAACTTTTCTCAAAGAATATATTAATGAAAACCTCACTAATAACTTCATACGCCATTCAAAATCTTCATTATGAGCTCCTATCTTATTTGTAAAGAAAAAAAACGGATCATTGCAAATATATATAGACTATCAAAGGTTCAATAAAATTACTATCAATAATAGATATTAGAACATTTAATATTAAAATATTTTAATCAATCAAATTAAGCCGAAATTTATAAAAAAATAGTTGTATAAAGAGCATAAAATTTGATATGTATTAAAAAAGAGTTGAATAAAAGACTACATTTGAAATTAGATCTGAGCATCTTGAATATAATATCATATTTTTAGAACTTTCAAATGCATCAATTTCTTTTTAAAATTTAATGAATGATGTTTTTTGAGAGTTTTTAGATGATTTTATGATATATTATCTAAAAAATATTTGAATCTACTTTAAGAATATAAAACAACATGAATTTTATGTTTCTTATATATTCCAAAAATTTAGAAATACAAGACTATATGCCAAGATAGAGAAGTGTATATTTCACACAACTTAAGTTTACTTCTTAGAATATATCTTTTTAAATGATAGTCTTATAATAAATCTTAAGAAAGTTTACACTACTATACAATAGAAGATTCAAAAAATAATAAGAGATATTTGATGTTTTTTAGAATTTGACAATTGCTCTTAGCTCTTTATTAAAAAAATTATAGTAAATATTATAATTCTACTTATACATTTGATTTATATTAACAAACTTCAATGAAATAAAGGAACTAAAACAACATTTGAAGCTTTGAAGAAAACTTTTATAACAATTCCAATCTTATATTAGATTGATTTTTGCAAAGAAATTTTTATGAAAACAAACACATCAAACTTTTTTTTGAGTATGGTATTGTTACAAATAAGAGCAAATGACAAACTTCACTCAGTAGCTTTTTATTTTAAAAACTTTTCAAGAGCCAAAAAAAACTATAAGATCCACAACAAAGATCTTCTTACAATTGTGGATTCATTTCAAGGATAGTGCCATTACCTAGATGGTACTTCAAGTTCACCAATTATTTATACATATCACAAGAACCTCAAGTATTTCATATCAACTTGGGTTTTAAATTACTAAAAAATCTATTGAAACATATTTTGGTTAGAATTTGAATTTAAGATCACATATTGACCAAAAAAAATAACAAGATTTATAAGACACATTTTTTTAGAAGTTTTCATCTTGTACCAAAAGAAAGAGATGATACTTTTGATTAATAACAAATAAGTCTTTTGAAGCCAAAATAATTTCATCTTTAAGTAATAAAATCAACTTTGATTGTTAATTAAATATTTTTTAATCAAGTTAATGAAGTATATCCTCAAATTTTCTTGTTCATGATATTAAAAATAATCCTTCTAAATCTCATGATATTTCTAAATTTAAGTTTAAATAAAATCTATTCTATTTTAATAGACACTTATATGTTCCAAAAAGTGAAGTATGATTATATGCTCTTTAAGCTTGTCATAATTTCTCATGTGTATGATATTTTGGATACAAGAAGATTTTAGAGTTAATATCAAGAGATTTTTTGTGGTATCATATGTAAAAAAATATAAAGACCTTTTACAATCATATGATATTTTTTCAAGATCAAAAACTCTTCATTATTGACCTTATAAACTTCTTTAGCCATTACATCTATCAAAACAACTATGGTCTTTTGTTTCTATAGATTCATTCATATAAATTATAATTTAAAGTTTTCATGGCTTAATATTTGTGATAGTAGATCATTTCATTAAAATGACATATTTTTTACCATGTACAAAAACTATCACAATTAAAGAAAAAACTAAATTTTTCTTTGATAATATTTATTATTATCATAGATTGTCAATAGATATTATATCAATTAAAAAGATTCAATTTGAATTAAAATTTTAGATAATCATTTTTAAAATATTGAAGATAAGTACAAAATTATCCTTGATTTTCTATCTTCAAAGTGATAGACAAATGGAACAAGTGATTCAAGTTTTAAAATTGTATTTGAGAGATACCATTAATTACCATTAAGATGATTGAATAACTCTTTTGCCATTTATAAAGCTTGCATATAATAACACGATACATTTTTTTCTCAATAATCACCTTTTGATGTAATTATGATTTTCATCTCTAATTTGATATCTTAAATTTTTAAAATTGTTAATCTTGAGATAAAAGATTTGACAAATTGTTTATCAAAGCTATATATAACAATGAAAGCACAATTAAAGGAAGCTCAAGAACAAAAATAGATCAATGCAAATACATATCACAAGGAACAACCTCAATTCCAAGTTGGAAACAAGGTATTCTTATAGATATTGTCTAATTTATACTTCTTGAGTAAATAAATCAAATGTCTATTGCACAAAGAAATATACAAAAAATAAAGTTGATTTACTAAGATTTCAAACAACTTATAAATGCAATTGTGGTTCTATAAAGTTAACTACTAGAATTACCAAAACCATCAAAGATTATTTATAAAATATCCTAAGTATCCACTAAATAAAAGGTACATTGAGCTAAGGAGGTTAATATTTCCTACTTCTCTCTTTTTTAATAAAGGGGGGTTAAAATAATGCATTGTCACTTCTAAAAACCTCTACATGTGTAATTTTGATTACATAGTGACTAAGTTCATTGTACTCAAATATTTATTTAAACAAATTATAAGATATAACAATAAAAAGACTCATCTATAACTTAAAGATATTTAAATTTTGATTGTAATTTTTTTATTTCTAATCGAGACAATTAAGTTACACATCTAGATAATGTTGCTTAAATCTTCTTGAATAATAAAACAATCCATGATTTTTTTTTATCCTTTAATACTAAATTTCTATTTTGTAGCCTAATATTAATAAGTGTGTCAAAAATTCAATAGCAATAAATACTCCTTTAAGTCCAATATTTGATATGATATATACCAAAAATTAAATTATATGTATAATAATTTCGAGTTTTTTACTTGTGGTACACAATTCTACTTTCATACTTTTAAAAACAAACTCTAGATAAATTTTCAAAGTTAGCAAATATTACATGCAATTCATATAACTGAGACAAATTAATACTCTAATAAAACTATCATCTGTACTTGTAAAAAAATGTTGAAAAATATTCATACACATCATAGTGGAAAATATACAATGCTCACATGTAGATGTATACTTTTTTGCCTACAACAGATACGCATGCTACTTAATTCCTCCAATCTAAACACTTCCTACTCAACCTTCATCAACATTGACGAAACTTTAAGTAGAATCCTGAAAATCAAAAAGGCCAAACTAATAAAAAAGCTGAAACAACAAAAACCATGCAGACACTGAATGACTGGATAAGTGGGAGATGACTGAGACAAAACGGGATGATCGCAGCCGATGAGAAAAACGGAGAGCGGAGGGGGGAACTAGAATGAGAGGGAGAGCAATGGAGCGGAAGGAAGGAAGGGAAAGCGAAACGAGGGAGGAGAGGGGAGGTGGACAAGAAGAGAAGGCGAGAAGAGAGAGGGAGAGCGCAGAAGGCGAAGAAGGGGAGAAGGGGGAGGAGCTAAAAGGGAGCGGGCCATGTGCGGAACACCTGGTTTCGCTCCGCCATTCCGTGCCAGCAGCGTCGTCTTGAGGATGTGAGACAGATCCTGACGGGGGACCGGCCATGGCCAGCTGCTTACAACATCGTCATACTCCTCTGTCCTGATTTCTATAACAAGTAGATCTATCTTACATCTGCACTTCCCCCACCCCAACCCCCGCCCCCCACGCCCTATGCTCTCTCTCTCTTCGCATCACCTCATTTCAATTTAATGCCCCACCCCTGCTGCTCTTGCTCTCCTCCCCTCCCCCTTCGCTCCCTCCCTCCTCCAAGGGTTTTGTCCCTCGCCTTCAGATCGTGGAGCCGGCACCATGGATGAAGAGTACGATGTGATTGTGCTGGGCACCGGGCTGAAGGAGTGCATCCTCAGTGGGCTACTCTCCGTGGATCGTCTCAAGGTGGGTGGGATCGCAGATCGTGGTTGATCTGTGTGACTCGGGCGGTGTGGCGTAGCTGCCGGCTCTCTGGGTGTAGCGTGGATTTGTGGTCGGCGAGGGATGACGGTCTGCGTGGGTCGTGGTTGTGGGGGCGGTTTTGGAAGGATTGTGTGCGTTGTTGATCTTTCCGGCAGGTTTGAGCTGGGTGGGTGGTGTGGTGAGTCAGAGTCGAGGTGTGCGGTGAGGTTTGAAAGGGTTGGCGAGTCGCGCAGATGGGTGGAATGCTTAGTTGGCTGGAGGATGAGCGGTGAAGAGGTTGTGGAGTCGGTGATTGTTATTCGTCCGACCCCGTTCCGGTTCCAGAGTTTTTTCATTTCTTTTTGATGGTACGTGTCGGTGGCAGGTGCTTCATATGGACAGGAATGACTATTACGGCGGAGCTGCTGCATCTTTGAACTTGAACCAGGTGGGTGATGTGCGAGCCCTGAAGTGTTGTATTGATCGAATACCGTGGTGGCGGCGTCTCGTGTTCCCAATTTAGGCGTGAGATCGGTTGCCCGGGCTCTGGGTTTGAATTGTGTGTTTGAGGAATTTAGTGTGTGGGTGTGTACGCTTCGTTCAGTTAGGGTCTGTTTGCAATTGAAGAGCGTCGCTGCCTTGGTTTAGCTTGCTGCGATGTTTATGGAACGGGTATTCAGATATATTACGCGAAAGCGCGCGATCGGTTAGGTTTGGAGTTGGAGGCGTTGGTCGCACTGCTTCCCGTGGGGTTATGGAGGGTGTCGGAATCTGTTTTTGGAGTCATTACTCGGGCAACTAGTGTTGGAGCGACGCGTTCCACCAAGTCGATCAATGTTCATACAGGAACGAGCTACATTGGAGCAAGGGATTGGTTCAAAACAGTGTTCAAGCTTTCAATAGTCATGTATCGGAGACTGTGATAACAGTGTGGGGCGTTTTCTGTGTCGCAGTTGTGGCAGAAGTTCAGAGGGAATGAGAAGCCTCCGGCGTCTTTGGGATCCAGCAAAGAGTACAATGTGGACATGGTTCCTAAGGTAATGAAAGTGTGGGCGTGATGTGTTTCAGTTTGCAGTGAATTCGTATCTGTTGCGCCATCAGTGGGTGTGTAGTAACACGTCCAGCCACGTACGTGCGCTGGTAAGTGCAAGTGATGGGCGTCTGAAGTTTGGAATGCGCGTTTTGTGTTGCAGTTCATGATGGCGAATGGCGCTCTCGTGAGGGTGCTCATCCACACGGATGTAACGAAATACCTGCTATTCAAGGCCGTGGACGGCAGCTACGTCTACAAGCAGGGAAAGGTGCGCACTCGTGTGTTTCCCGTCGGGGGAACAATCTTGAGGTTGCTAGAGTTGTTTGGTTTCCATGTTGTGGTGGAGCGATGCTTTGCGGTGGTTTCATCCAGAGGCTTCTGGCAGATACAAGAGGACCAGGCCCCTGGAGGGTAGATGCAGGCACCGCGGTGCGCTTCTTATAAGCGGAGGATGGTGTAGCCGTTTGCCGTGCATTGAAGTGGTTTGTGGTGCCATGATGACAGGTGTATAAAGTTCCGGCCAACGACGTGGAGGCATTGAAGTCGCCCTTGATGGGGCTGTTCGAGAAGAGGCGTGCTCGCAAGTTTTTCATCTTTGTGCAGAACTATGACGAGGAGGATGCCAAAACACACGAGGGAATGGACTTGCGGACAGTAACAACCAAGGAAGTTTTCGAGTATGTGTCTTTCTTTGGCCGGAATCTGTAGGTTGATTTGCGAGGTGCATGTGTGTTGGGCATGGTCGCTTGACGTGTGTTGGATTGTAGGGGTGGTTGTGACCACGGCAGTAAGCTTGTGGGGGGTAATTCTGGCGGGTGCTGCGTCTCATCGTGTAAACTGTGGTGCAGGAAGTTCGGGCTGGATGCTAACACAGTAGACTTTATTGGACACTCTTTGGCTCTGCATCGCGATGATCGGTTCTTGTCGGAGCCAGCGTTGGACTTTGTGAAGAGAGTCAAGGTATGCCGAACGTCGTGAACGCATGGTCATTATCAAAGTCAGTCGCTTTGGTTTCGTTTCCATCACTGCGCCGAGGAAGGCTTTGGGTATTGCAGTGTGCACCGATGTGGCTGATTTGTGACGTGTTTTGGGACTGGTGCAGTTGTACGCCGAGTCGATGGCACGGTTCCAGGGGGGGTCGCCGTACATTTACCCGCTGTATGGTCTCGGCGAGTTGCCGCAGGTATGTCCTCATGCCTTGCTGGTGCCTGTTTCCATTCGTCCAGTGTACGGAGCACCGATTGTACTGTGGCGTTGTGAAGCTGGATGGGGAGATTCGAGGTTATGAGTATGGCGTAACCACCACCAGACAGTCAGATTGGCAGTTCGCAATGGGTGGTGCCAAACTGCAGGCTTTGGCAGCGGGAGTGGTTGAGGCAATGGGTCTTTTAGGGGGCGAGCAACTTCTTCGTCGTTCTTAGCGCCGCGCGTGCGGGGTCTAATGTGATCCGAGTCTGACCTGGGTACGTGAACTTTGTTTGTTGCAGGGGTTCGCCCGTCTAAGTGCAGTGTACGGAGGAACTTACATGCTTGCCAAACCGGAGTGCAAGGTACAAGAATGATGGAGGTGGTGGTGGAGCCACCAGATTTTTGTTTGTTCTCGTGCTTTGGTGGCGAACGAGCAGTCGTGGGTGGTTGGGTTGATTGAAAACTGAGCGATGTGGATTTGACGTGTGATGTAACAGGTCGAATTTGATGAGATGGGTCAAGTGATGGGAGTTACATCTGAGGGTGAGACGGCAAAGGCTAAGAAAGTCGTGTGCGACCCGTCATACCTGCCGAATAAGGTAATGGAGCATTGTAGGATTTGATGTTTTGTGTGGGTGCGCTTCGAATGGAGGTCGTGGTTGTGGCGGCGAAGCATCTTGTGTGGATGGATCCGTTGAACATGGGGCTTTGGTTGGTTTCAGGTGAAGAAGGTCGGGAAGGTGGTGCGTGCTATCTGCTTTATGAGCCATCCGATTCCGAACACCGGGGACTCCGATTCAGTTCAGATTATTCTACCGCAAAAGCAACTTGGCCGCAGATCGGACATGTAAGTGGTGCAGCTTCGAGTGCAGTTGCGTGAGGAATGACGTGGAAGTGTTAGGGTGCCTGAACGATTGGAAGAGAGGGAGGCAGGCGTTGGTGTTAATTATGTGTCGGTGAGATGTGGTGGCCAGTGAAGTGTGATGTATGGTGCATTTCTCTGGTACGGAGTTTGTGTGGTGTGTTCGATGCTGACGTTTGGTGGACACGGTGGCAGGTATGTGTTCTGTTGTTCTCACTCTCACAACGTGGCTCCGAAAGGCAAGTATATCGCGTTTGTTTCAGCGGAGGTGGAGACGGAGAACCCTGAGGCTGAGCTTCAGCCGGGGCTTGCACTGCTGGGGCAAATTGACGAGAAGATTATTGACATGTACGACATGTACGAGCCAGTGAACGATTCGTCGCTGGACAACTGTTTCATTTCAAAGGTAGTAATTTCAAAGGATCACTCACTGGGAAGTCGCATGTGTACGTGGGGGGGAAGTGTATTGAGGGCTGCCATATGTGTGGTGAAGAGTTGGGTCAATTGTTGGTCCGGTGTCAATTTGAGAACCTGGGAGACGAGTTGCGAGGCGTGGTTGAGCGGCTCGATGGGAGGCGCTGTTTGCGTTGATGTGCGCTGATGTAGAGTTCGCAGATTCGGGTTTTGAAATGAGAGGGAATTGTGTTTTTTTTTTGACGTCTTGTGTTTTGGTTTGTGTGCGTGGGGCAGAGCTACGATCCAACGACCCACTTTGAGACGACGGTGCAAGACGTGCTTTCGATGTATACAAGGATTACGGGGAAGAATCTGGATCTGAGCGTAGATTTGAGTGCGGCAAGCGCTGCGGAGGAGTAGTGGTGAATGTTAGGTTCGAAGGCGTTTACTTTGAGTAGATTGTGGGAGTCTGGTTATTCTGCCAGGGTCTATTGTTGACTACTTTTGTGTAAGGCTATTCACATTTTACATGTTAATTTAATGTCATGAACGACATGCTTTCCTGTATCGATGTGCGCCTTGTGGGGTGGTGGTGATGTCATGGACTTGGGTGTGGCATGGGCCATTTTGGATGGGTGCAAATAGTGATATGCATGTTGCGTGCAAGCTGTAAGGCTCTCTCGATGCTTTGGGTGCATGCACGGGGAGGCGCGCACGCGGGACTGGAGGCAATGTTGGAGCACGGTATGTGGGCCCGAGGGCCACTAATTTGGACATCACGCCTGGAGACGAGTTGTGGTATTGGGATGCCTTTCGAGATAGTGATTGCACCTTTTTCAATTTTGGACAGCATGATTTTGTCAGCACGGATGGTCGCTGTGGTCATCGAAGACCGACGGGTTGCACCAGCTGGGTGTTGACAATTGTTTGCGTGTTGACACTTGTTTGCCTGAAATCGTATCACGGATTCGTGTGTATTGTTTTGTTGTAGAGTTTGGAGAGGTGTTGCTCGGTCTTTACGTGTTTTATGGTTATTTGAAAAATACGTGTTGAACCTGTCACATTTACTGGGTCACCATCGATGACGACGTAATCTAAGTAGAAATATTGTTGTCTGAGTACTTCTGTTGTATTGTTTTTGTATAGAAGTTTAGAAGTTTTGTTATATTCATACTGCACACTTGTTTACTTGTTCGTGTGTGGATTGTCAGTTTGCTGTTTGGTGCTGTCGTTTCCCTTGTAATCTTTTCGCCAGTTGGTTTTTTCATAACCTTTCTCACCTCATGAATGTTATGATTTCTAATTCTTATTTTCTTCAGTTCCCCTCTGTTATGATCATGGTGTACTTTTGTAATTTTTTTTCTGGATAGTTGTAATTTCTTTCCTGGATAGTGTTAGATGAATTTCTTTAAGTCAAAATAAAATCTTTTTACAATATTGTATATGATCAAAAACATACTTGCAACACCCTTTCTCATTTGTAGTTTCATATCTTTCATATAGTTTCTCCTTCTTTACATCCAGTGATAGAATTTTTTTCTAGATGAGACAAGGTTTTTTTGTAAGTTCCATATAGATTGTAGCACCTTCGATGTAAGTAGGAAGATAAGACTAAGGCCTCAAGGCTTCTCTAGCACATCCATATAGATTACATGTGAATCTTGGTGAGGCTTGAATTCTTGATCTTTTTAGAAAGTTATTTTTGAAATAAAAATTAATTACATGATTTTTTTATTATTTTCATTTTATCTTTAAACCATTAAAACTTGTTAATGATAACTTGAATTTACATGTTTTTTATGTCATTAAATAGATAAAAAAATTGTCTATTTAATATATATATATATCTATATATATATATATTATTTTTTATTTTTTATTAGATGAAAATTGAACGAACAAACTATGACTAGTTTTATAGTATGCAATTCCTTGATTGTACTTATTTTTCTTGTTTTGTATTGTTCTTCTTTTACTTTTATTTATTATTTCTTTTAAGTTATACCACTAATTACAAATAATTTTTAGTTAAGGTCATCTTGTAAATTAATAAGAGGGATGAATTTTATTTGTCAAAAGGTGGTGCTTTGAATGGTGTATATGAATGTGAAGTTAGTATGTTATAATTGATCTTATTTGGTTTTATTAATTGAGCATTGCAACTTGGTCTTCAGCATTGGTAAGTATTCTATCTCTCATCTTTCTTGGTTGTAAGTTCCATCTTAATTGATTGAATTTTTAAAAATATAAATTTTAATTATTTAAATATAAAATTATTAGGATGAGAAAGTCTATTTTTTATTTAAGTATTTTTTATAATTTAGCAATATTTATAGGATATACAAGTCTTATTAGAAAAAAAATTTATAAAAATGAAGTCTTAATAAGTCTTTGAGATAGTTATCTTAATTGATTTAGTATTTTTACTTACTATTGAGTACTAAAGATAAGTTATTAAGATCAATGTTTATATTGGCCTTTTGCCTATATTTATTACTTATTAACAAATCTATAAATATTAATTAGTAATTTTAAAAAGTATAAAAAAGAACCTAATATCTTTTTAGTTATTTATATTAGAAATAAAAATTTTAGTTGATTTAAATTAATTTTATTACTATAAAAAATTATTAAGATAGAAAAATATAGCTTTAATTTCATGTGAGGATTAAAAAAAAGTCATAGAATGTTTTAGAATTTTTTTAGAATTTTTTAAAGATTTCTTTAGAATGTTTTAGAGAAAATTTTAAAACTTTGGTAAAATTAAATTTTTACCACCTTGGGAGCTATTATGAAGAAATGGAGCAAGATTTGAAGGGCTTGAAAGATTTCTAGGCTAATTGGATATTTTAAAATACCATGGTGAAGTCAAAGATATAGAGATATTAGTTTTAATAATAAAAAATATGTGAATTAGTAGCTAGTCTAATCTTTGTAGGAAGGGAGGTACACAAGTTCTACCTAGATTGTAGCTTATTGAATGTAGTTAGGGAGATAAGACTAAGGTCTTGTGGCCTCACTTATATCTATATATATATCTATATATATATATATATATATATATTACATGTGAGCCTTGGTGAGGCTCAAATCCTTGTTTTATAAGCAAGTTATCTTCAAGGTAAATTATTTTTAAGCGTGTAGTTGCTTGATTTCATTCATTTCACTTGTTTTGTATTTGTTTTTCTTTGTTTGCTGTTATTTTTTTCTTTCAATTCATACCACCAATTACAAAAAATTCTTAATTTATGTCACTTTTTTATTTGGATTGAAGGATAAAATTTACACTCACATTGGTGTAAATAAGGTATTTTTATTTTAACTTTGAAAAATAGTCAAATTTTTTATTGTTAAATATAATATTGATTTATGCCATATTTTTGTCAATTAATTATTATGTGCTTGATATTTGAAGTAGAAATTTTGAAAATACATGTATTATAATATTAACTTTCTAAAAAATTAATATATGCTTGATTTAAAGCTATAAAAAAATTTAATGACTTTTTGCTTAAAAGAGGATTCATTGCCTTGATAGTTTTGTCTACTTTAAATCTAAAAAGTCATTTTTTAGTATATTACTTGAGCTCTTAAGGTTATTGGTAAGTACGGGACATGACCTTATAAGATTGGACTTAATATATATAATGATTAAAAAAGAGACAAGGAAAGTTTACTGCTTAGTTGAAAAAACATATAGTCTTCAATCTAATACTACTTGATTTGTGGTGCTATTGTACAAGACTCGCTATGTGTTGTGCTACTACTTGACTATCTTCTAAGTATTTTTTCTTGGCTCTTAAGTATTCATGTACCTTATTGCATCCTCCATTAATGTTGATGACTTTGTAATAGTCACTTATCTCTTTGCTTACCATTCTTTTAACGTCATATCGTCAAGGTATTTTGGTGGATACTGTTAGGAATCATATACAAAATAAAGATTCAAGACAAAGAAATGGAGTTAGCTTGACATTAGAACAATAATTGAATACAAGGCAAGAAGGTCTTGGCAAGTAGGTTATCAAGATTGAGGATCCCCTCAACCTCAACTCCTATATATATTACGTCCTAAAAAGCTTCTTTAGAAGTTTCCATAAGGCTTGGGAACAAAGCAAGCCTAAGATCCTTCTTTGGTAACTTCCTAAATCATCTAAAGTCTTTTAGAACCTTTCAAGATTTCCTATGACCTTCTAGAACTTTTCTTAGAATCTACTAGAATCTTATAGGATCTAAAAGAACCTTCTTAGAACCTTCTAGAACCTTCTAGAATCTTCTTTAGTTATACGTCTGTGACATCATCTCCTCCTCTAGCTTCAAGGTCTCCGAGAAGCAATGTTGCTGTAAGTCACTATATGCGCAAGAAGTTGAAGATCTGTTGCATGATGTGTGCAATATATTTCACGTTTTTTTTGCAAGGCAAATGGTTTATAGGCCCTTGTAGCCATCGATAGTATCTCAAGCCTTTTACTTGTAACAAAGTATGAACTTTGATATCTTTGTTATGGAATTGCCATCCAAACAGTCCTTTTAGTTGTCTTTCATAGGCAGGTTCTATCTCAAACACAATTACTAGTAACTTATTATTAGGTAACTTTCGATGTCTTCATGATTCAAGCAGCTCTTCATCTCGGGGTCTTCTCTGCAAGCTACTTAGTTGAGATGGTATAATCGACAGGGTGTCTATTTCTTGACTATTCATATCATATAAAGTAGACAAGATCAAAAGAGTATAAATAGGCTATGGTCATGAATTTAAACTATTAACTTATATTATTTTAAACATTTGAAAAAACTACCTCTTTAGAAGGTGCCTCCTCTCCTTTTTTATGAGGCCAAGAACTAAAAATCTTCATAGTGAAGCCATCTTACTAAGCTACTATTCCTCATTTTGCTACTTTTGGTCTGGATCGATATTATTGATGGAACTTTTGAACCTTCATTTTTGCATTTACAAGATTATTAGCTAATTCCGACATACAATAGTTGATATCATATTTGTGCCAATGGACTAGATATTTAAGCCTTCTATGTTTTATCCTTGAATCTAATATCTCTTCTACTTCAAATTCAACATGATCATTGATTTCAACCATAGGAGGTAGTGGTTGTCTTCAACTTGGTATGTTTGATTCTTTATACCTTTTCAAAAGTGAAACATGAAAGACTCAATGAATCTTCATGGATGAAGGTAATTCCAAGTAATAAATTATATTATTGATTTGTTTCTAAATCACAAATAGTCACAATTTTTAGTAGTCTAACTTATCACATAGCCTATTGGTTTTTATATTACACCAAAGAAGCCACACTTTGTCACCAATTTGGAATAGAGGATGTTCATTCTTCAATTCATTTGCCACCAGATTATAACATTTTTGAGCCCTTTCTAGGTGAGTCTTCATTGTTACTTGAAGTTTGGCCATCTTCGTAGCGAACTCCTCTACTGCTGAATTTGTCAATTTTGAAGGCTCTATCATATCCGAATTTGAATGATGACTGTAATTTAAATAGAATGATATTTGATATGTGGATGCATGGATTGTGTTATTATATATAAACTATGC